CAGAGGCGGCGGGTAGGAGGGCGGCGGGGGCGAGGGCGAGGGAGAGGGCGAGGGAGAGGGCGAGAGCGAGGGCGGGGGGCGGGGGGCGGGGGGGGGGGGGGGCGGGGGGTGGGGGGTGGGGAGGGCGGCGGCAAGGGCGCCTGCACCCGCCTTGAGGCCCCGCGCCACCGACTCCTCGACGCTCGGGAATCGGAAGCCGCCTTGCAAAATGCTCTCTGCCTTCTCCGCCGTCGGGGCGGGGTACACACGCAACGTCTGCACCGCAGCTGACGCCTCCAGGCCGGTGTCTGCGTCGGCGTCGGGGGGGGTTGACACGGGCGCTTCGCCGGTGGCAGCGGCGGCATCGGCTGCTGCGGCGCACCCGGCCTCAACGCTTCCCTCGGCGAAGCCGAGCGTCCACCAGCGCTCCCCCTCCCGCTGCCCCGGCTGAGACTGAAGCTCGAGCGGCTGCGTCAGCGTGACGGCCACGCGGCGGCCGTACAGCGGTCCGTCGAGACACATGGTGTGGTACTCACCGCGCTCACCGCCCAAGTCGAGCGGCTTGACCTGCTCGCCTAGGGTTCGGGTACCGTGGGGGGTAGGGGATGGGTGCGGTACCGTGGGGGTAGGGGACCGACCCCTCCAGGTAGCGCTCGCCGGAACCCGCCGCGGCCGGAGCCTCCGGCTGCGCCGCCAGCGTCTCGAGCTCGTAGACGGCCGCCGCGTCGAGCTGACGCCCCACCCAGCCGGCTTCGAACCATGGGCTCTTGACGCAGGAAAAGAAGACGAGGAAACGCTCGGCGAGCAGCCGCCGCAGGAGGCTCGCGCGCTCCGCCTGCCAGAGCGGCAAGAAGGCGCGCACGCCCGCGGCCTCCGCGCACTCCTCGATCCAGTTGCGCGCCATCGTGCCAACCAAGTCCATGTCGCCGGTCGCGAGGACGCGCACGCCGTGCTGCTCGCGCAGCCGGCGGATGCCGCGCACATAGGCTTCCTAAGGTAGCGAGGGGAGGCAAGGGTGCGGCGGTGCAGGCTTCCTAAGGTAGCGAGGGGAGGCAAGGGTGCGGCGGTGCAGGCTTCCTAAGGTAGCGAGGGGAGGCAAGGGTGCGGCGGTGAGCGTGCGTGCGTGGTGCGTGCGTGTGAGTGCGTGTATGAGTGCGTGTGCGTGCGTGTGCGTGTGCGTGTGCGTGTGCGTGTGCGTGTGCGTGTGCGTGTGCGTGTGCGTGTGCGTGTGCGTGTGCGTGTGAGTGTGGTGGGAGGGGCTCCTTGTACGAGGGAGGGTCGCGAGGGATGACGACGTGCAGGAGCGGCAGCCCGAGGCTCGCCGCCTGCGCCTCCATCAAACACAGCGGGTGCGCGCGGAAGACGGCGCCCTCCGGCCGAAAGACGACGAGCGCCGCCACGCGGAGCGACGCGTCCCGCCACGCCGCCAGTAGCGCGAGGTTGCAGTCCTTGCCGCCCGTCCAAGACACGGCACAGCACTCCGCCTGCGAACAGCACGCGGGAGGGTGTCCCCCGCCGGCGGAGTGCCTTGGGTTGCGTGTCTGCGAGTCGCTCGAAGGTGTCTCTCCGCCCCTGCGTCACGCCACACACCGACTCCAGTCACTGGCCAGACTGTGTCTCCGAAACCCTCCCCTACCCCCCCCCCCCCCCAGTACCCGAACCCTGACGCAACCTGGCCAGACCGTGTCTCGCGTCTCTCTCGTCTCTCGCGTCTCTCTCGTCTCTCTCTCTCTCCTCCGCCTGCGGCCCCACCGCCTGGTCCTCTCGCCGCCTCGGCCCGGCGCAAGGCGTGGGCGTGGCCTCCGCAATCACCAGCTCGACCTACGGGACATGTCATAGAGGTGTCCTGGACATGTCCTGGACATGTCCGACCGCAATCACAAGCTCGACCGACTTGTCCGAGCGCACGTCGCCGTCGCCTACAAGAGGAACCCAAGGGCAGCTCGGGAACCGGCTCCGCGACCTTGTCCGCAGCGCTCGCCGCCGCTGCCGCCCTCGGTCCGCCGGTGCTCATACCCGTACGCCGCCAGCGCGTGGCGCGAGCCGAGAGAGCCGTCGCGGAAGCGCTTGCGCGCCCGCCACTCGGGCTGGGGCGGGACGGGCACGCCTGCTCGCCCACCCAGCGGCGGCGCCGCCACGTGCCTGCCGTCCACAATTTCGAGCCCGAGCCGGCGGCAGTGGTCGTCCACCCGCCAGGAAGCGCGCTGGTTGCCGCACAGCGTGAGGTGTATCAGGCCGCCGGGCGCAAGCAGCGACTTGGCCGAGGCGAGGAAGTGGCCGATCAGGGCGATGTGCCGCCGCGCGTGCTCCTCCACGCTCAGGAGGTCAGAGAGGCCCAGGTGAGGGTGGCAAAAAACGACGTGGTCCTGCGACGAGCCGAGCGTGGCCGCCTCGAGGGCGGTCGCATCCACGCCGTGCGCGACTCGAGCGCCGCGTTCACTGAGCTCGGCCGATATGGCCGCGGCGCCGGCGTAGGTACGCTCGAGCTCCACATGCGAGCAGAGCGTGCTGCCGAGCAGATGCAGCCGATCACCAAAGGCTCTGGCCAGAGCGAGCGAGCAGGACATGTCGCCGTCGCCAACGGTGAGGACGCGACGGCGGTTGGCCATCGCAATTCGCATCCTACACGTATGGGCCGTCCATCCAGAGTATCGACCTCTGGCTAGTCACGTAGTCAGCCGGCCACTGGATGGCACCATAAAGTACTCGTCAACTCGAGCTGGTCTCTCCGCAAGGCCTCCCGACCGCGTCGAATTCATCGACGCAGGCTCTCTCGGCTACGGGACCGGCCCCAGCTTCGGCTGAGGTTGACAAGCTCCCGAGCCCAAATCACAGTGAGCACTTGTGCGCGTCGTGATTTCTTGTTGGTTTTCAAAAATCTCTCTCTCCGACTTATTGTGCGGGGAGGGTCGGTGAGGCTGAGTAAGGGGAAGAAAAGAATTTCAAGGTGCTGGGTGCGCTTCTTAGCTCCCCGGCCCTGGATGTGAGGCTGCCAACTGCACTCCAAGTGCTCCAAGCGCAGCCTTACTCTCTCGGCAAGAATCCTGCTCGTGCACGTGGGGACCCTGTCCTCCTCCCATACACACACACACACAACTCCTCCTCCCATCCCTCGCGGACTCAGGGCCGGTGCTTTGACGCAGTATATTGTACTTCGAGGTAGTATGAACTCAGAACGGCCCCCCGAGAGCGCCTCTTCGACGCCCACGGGTCCCGGGGGGTCGGAGGGGTTGCGAGAAGGCCTTGGCTATTTTTTGTTTGAATTCTGGAGGCCGTTCAAACATGTAACGCCGTTCCACGTGCCCGTCCACAGCACGGACAACATGCTAGCCCAGCAGGCCGCTCCCACCGCCGCCCGCGGCGGAGGCAAGGCGGCAAAGGGTGGCAAGGGCGGCGGCAAGGGCGCTGGCAAGGGTGGTGGCCGTGTGGCGCACCAGACCCGCTTTGCGCCGCCGCCCTCAACGCCCGATACTCGGTTGAGCCGGCGGAGCGACGGCGGCAGAGTTGCGGCCGCCGGCGACCTCACACGGCGTCGAGCGCCGTAGAGACGGCCCCGAGAGCCGCCGCCAGGTGTGCCACGACCGCGGTCGCGAGGCTCGTGGCGATAGATGCGCCAGACCCGCTTGCGCCGCCGCCCTCAACGCCCGATACTCGGTCAGAGCCGGCGGAGCGACGGCGGCGGAGTTGCGGCCGCCGGCGACCTCACACGGCGTCGAGCGCCGTAGAGACGGCCTCGAGAGCCGCCGCCAGGTGTGCCACGACCGCGGTCGCGAGGCTCGTGGCGATAGATGCGCCAGACCCGCTTGCGCCGCCGCCCTCAACGCCCGATACTCGGTCAGAGCCGGCGGAGCGACGGCGGCGGAGTTGCGGCCGCCGGCGACCTTCCCCTCGACCACGCCGCCGACCCGTCGACAAGCACACGCGGACTGCCATCGAGAAGAAGGAGAAGGATGGCGGCGCATCCGGAGCCCGCGGGCGCAGCGGGCGCGGGTCCGGGCGCGGGCGGGCGCGCGGGAACCCCGCCAGCGGAGGCGACAATGCCTCTGGCGGCTCTGCAGGCGGCGCGCGGCGCGCCCCTCGCCGGTCTCCCGCACGCTCCTGAGGGCCGAGAGGGCCGAGAGGCGGGGTCGGTGACCCGGGGGCATGGGCGGTGCGGCCCGCGCCGCGCGCGGGCGCGTGGCAGCCCGTGAGGGCCGAGATCGGGTCCGTACTTCGACGTAGTATGGGCCCCCGGCGGCCCTCTACAGCAGCGGCGAAGTGAGCGTGTTTGTGGTGTTGGTGTGGCGTCTGAGCTTGGATCTGTGACTAAAGCCGGTTACCACTGATGGATCCCCACCCGAATAACACACAGTGAGCGCCCCAGCGCTTCACTACGCCCTCCGCGCGAAATCGCTAGTGGTGCTTTGTGGTAGTATATTGTACTTTTGAGTAGTATGGGTACGGTTCCCGAGACCGCTCGTTTGGAGCACTTGGAGCACTTGGAGTGCAGTCAGTAACCTCACGTTTGGGTTGTCTCTTACTGTAGAGGAAATCTCTTTCATTCACAATCGCATAAATTTCGCAACCGCGATACCACCACGAGATCCGTGGCTTTTGGGCGCACCTCTGGTGGTGTTGCGCGCTCTGCGCGGCGCCACCGGCGGCGCGTCGGAGTGGCGGCCGCCACTCGCGTGGTGCCAAGAGGTTCTCCGGAACTCTTACGCGCACCACGGCGGCCGCCTTCAACTCCCCGAGCGGGGCCCTAGGACCAAGGGCGCGCTCGGCAAATTCCTGCGCTTTGCGCAGGGTCACAACCCCTGGGCCAGTTGTTGGTGGAACCACCTCAAGGCCAGCGCGCATGCGCGGGCGATGGACTGACTCCAGCAGCTCAAGGGCTCGCGCTCTCCTCACCGCCGCGCGCGCGTTGCAGCAGGAGTGCCGCAAACCGCAATGCGGCATTGTGCGACTACCGCATCGTGCCGCAGCTGCACCGCTTCTCCTCGGACATCATCGTGAACTCGGTGGTCCGCTGCGAGGACGCGGTCAGCACCGCGCCGGATCTCTTCTGAGAGCCGGCGCGGATCGCGGATGCGGCTTGAAGGCTCTGCCGGCGGATCTGTGGCCTGGCGCCTGCCAGACTGCGGGTCCAAACACCCCGGCGCTCGCGCGCGCCACCGCCCCCGGCGCGGGTTGGGATATCAGTTCGTGAGTCCTGTGTCCTGTCCCTGTGCCCCACCTTCTTCTCCTGTGTCGGTCCCTGAGAACCCCACTATACAGCGCCACCTCGTGAGCTGTTCTGTGAGCTGTGTGCTGTGTGTCCAGCAGTCCGGACCCAGTGCTACGGCCGGTGACAGCGTGCCTCGTGTCGGCTCCCGAGCCAATTGTGTGCAGCGTGTGTGTGCGTGTGGGCCCCTCCTCCATGCTTGGAGGTGTGTAAGACTGATACTGATACCACCACGCGCGCTTTCCTCGACGCGCGCACAGCCCCTCCGCGCGGTGCAGGCGTCCGCGCTTCGTCAGGCTTCGGCAGGATTTCGGCCTACGGCAGGCTTCGGCAGGCTGCGCGACAGCAGGACTTCCGCAGGACTTCCGCAGGACTTCCGCAGGACTTCCGCAGGACTTCCGCCACAGGACTTTGCCAGACGCCAAGCATGCCTCTCCCGAGTGCAGGTGGTCGAGAGGGATTGGGCGGCCGAGGGAGCGAAGGTGGTCGAGACAGCGCAGGTGGCTGAGCGCGCCGGTCACCTTTCATCGCCGGGGCCGGGCTCGGTCGGGGCTGCGGGCTTGCCTCGCTCTAAAACAGGAGGCCAAAGCAGTCTGTCCGCGTGTATCTCTCTACTCGCACAGAGAGGAACCACCTCATCAGGAGCAGCCGCACGGGCACAGCCAGCATCCGGGGCTCAGCTTGCACGTCACCCGCACCCGGCCGCGAATCGCGCCGTCGAAGACGTACACGAAGCCGCTCTCGGGCGAGCCCTCTACGAACGTCTGCAGCACCAGCTCGCCGGGAAAGGCGCCGCCGAAGCTGCTGCCATTCTCCACGAAACGCCTCCTCTCGTCCACATACGCCACGATCGGATCGCCGACCGTCGAGGCCGACGGCCCGGCGGCGCACGGACCAAAGGTCTCGAGATATTCGGTTGTGAGGAGGCGGTACGCCACCCGCCCAAGAACCGGCAGCAGCACGTACTTGACGAGCGTGTTGTAGGCGGAGCACCGCTCCAACCGGAATTCGGTGATGTAGAGGTCGCGGCTGCCATTGCGCGCGTACTCCAGCGGCGACCAAGCGTTGTTGCGGAACAGATGCTCGCCGGCAGCGCCGCGGCTCACGGTCACGCCGAAAGCCTTTTCGGCAGCCGCGATCGTGGTGTCGGTCGTGTCGCTCGTGGTGTTGACGCCGTCGCCCGCAAGCTGCAGTGGGGCCGCCATATGTGTATGATCGCAGCGGCCCGGGCAGCGGCCAGCCTGTACACCGCCCGCCCGAGGCGCTCCGCTGGGCTTCCTAGAGAAACGACGTGTGAAGCTCGAGGCGTCCAGAAAAAGAAATATAGTTTTCCTGCCGCTCATAAAATCGTTGGGTCGCTTCAGTTCACGAAGTCCCCCCGTGGGCCGACCCTCCGATTTTATTAGAAGAGAACAAAGGGAGTGAATATCGGATTGTCTTTCTTTGTTGCCGGTGGCAGCGCGAGAAAAAAGGGGGCGTGAGGCTTATGACTGCACTCCAAGTGCTCCAACACACCTCCTTGTACAACCACCACCTCGCAACATCTCTCTCCACCGGCTCGCACCTCTCGCACCTCGTCCTCGACAAGGACTACATCAAGGAGACAGCGAACCCATCCAGCCGCGCCGACGCCATCGGCGCCACCGCCTCCCACGAATTGGCAGCCGGATCGTACCGCTCGACCGAGCTGAGGGAGGCGCCGTTGTGGTTGTGCCCACCAACAGCGTACAGCTTGCCGTCGAGCGCCGCCGCGGCCAGGGTCGTCCTCACTGTAGTCATCGGCGCCACCGCCTCCCACGCGTTCGTCACGGGATCGTACCGCTCCACCGAGCTGAGGACGCTGTCGTGACCACGCCCGCCCACCGCATACAGCTTGCCGTCGAGCACCGCCACGCCGAAATCAGTTCGCGCCGCCGCCATCGGAGCCACAGCCTCCCACGCATCCAGCGCCGGGTCATACCGCTCCACCGAGCTGAGGCGGCCACCGCCGTGCCCGCCCACCGCGTACAACTTGCCGTCGAGCACCGCCACGGCGTGAGCATACCGCGCCGTTGCCATCGGCGCCACAGCCTCCCACGCATCCAACGCCGGGTCGTACCCCTCCACGGAGCTGAGGAAGTCGTCGTCGTTGTTGAAGCCGCCCACAGCGTACAGCTTGCCGTCGAGCACCGCCACACCATGGTCGCTCCGCGCCTCCGCCATCGGCGCCACCGCCTCCCACGCATCCAGCGCCGAATCATACCGCTCCACCGAGCTGAGGGCGCCGTCGTCGTCATTCTCGCCGCCCGCCGCGTAGAGCTTGCCATCGAGTACCGCCATGCGCGCTACCGTGCATGCCGACGCGGCATCGGCGCCACAGCCTCCTCCTCCCACTCATTCGTTGACGGGTAGAACCGCTCCAGCGAGTTGAGCGACTCGCCACCGCTGCCGAAGCCGCCAATCACGAGCATGCGCGGCCTCTCGCGCTTCGGCAGCGTCTCCTTCCAGCCGCGGCGCCACGCGCGGCACGTCCCCTTGACGGCGTGCTCCGTGGTCGGCAGCTGGGCGAGGATGTGCGGGGCGAG